GACACTCTCACAAACATTACCCTCTCCTTGGCCTCGGGGTCATCGGTCTGATATTCCATCTCCGACACCTTTCTGTGTCCTAAACAAGTTTTTCCAGTTTGTCAGCCTTATTCCATGGCGACCAGAGAAATAAAAGGTCCACAAAACAAAGACTCCAGAAAATATAATGTGTTGAGTAGAAATTTCCTCCCAGTGAATGCAGCTAAATGCCTTTAGTTGCATTGGAACCCCTCAAGAGAGTTAGTACCTACTTCATTTTCAGTATAACCTGAAACTGATCCAAGACTAACTTTCAGCCCAAGGTCTTAAACAAGGTCTTACAAGATTTTTGTCTTATTTTTATCTGCTACACAAGTTTTCACTAGTTTTAGGATAATTCCAGTTTGAAACAATTTCCTAATTTTGAAGGTTATCATAACAATGTACCCACCAAAGTATTTGCAGAAATATGGGAATATCATTTTATTTTCCACAGAAGTTAAGGCTTACCTGTTGATTTGTTTTATCTGTATATGATTGTATGACTAATGAGCAAATGTTTGCCTTGCGTTACTCTCGGGATCATTTGTGTTTACTTTTGTTTCTCAAGTAAATATTCACCCTTTAGTCTGGTTTATTACTGCGGTATGAGCCCGAAATAAACAGATTTTGCTGTGATTTAATTGAAATAAATGGATGAAAAGGATGCCAAAATAACTACATCATGATGGTGATTTGTAAAAAGTTTGAAAACAAAAATGGAAATTTTTAATTTGGGTTATAGTAGTTTGTACGAACTGTCATCTGGATGCATCCAGAAGCAAAATTGTCTTCCAGATGGATCCAAACTAGACTGAGATGCAATGAATGGTTCAAATTGGAAAAATGGCGCACACTTTTGGACAATCTTTTTTCAGAAGTATTTGTGGTGTTGTACACAAAAAGTGATGGATGTAGTTCAAAGAGAAGTCCAGCCCGGTTTGCTAAAGAGAAAGAGCTTGCATTGTAGGTTTTGGAATGACCCCCCTCAACTCCGAAGGTAGATAGGTATTTGGAGAGGAAATTTCAGATGTTTTGCAAAGGTCTTACAAGCTCTTACTTTGAAGCAGTCTTCCCTTTTTTACTCTTCTACTGATCCCCCAACCCCTCCAAGGCCCCAGTTCCCAGCACCTCTAAGCCTCATAATAAATCCAGATTCGCCAATTGTAGTCCAGCTGTTGGGTACGAGTTGTGCCATGATCACAGACTGATGTGTGAGTTGATGTGAGCACAGGCTGGGGGTAGAGCACACCACTTCCACACACAATTAACCACCCAGAAGCCCCTGAAGTGTCTAATCCTTTCCCACCATTGTCCACATATTCCTGTGACGACCAATGACAACCATCCTTCATATGATTCCAATTTTCGTTGCTAGTGCTGTAGTTGAGAGTTGTGTTGACCACTCTGGTTTGGTTTCCCTAGTAGTGCTGTTTGGGCCATAGAAAATGCTGGCCTCCTTCACCCCGTGCTGTTATTCAAACGGTTAGAGCCTTGTCTTGATGTGACTCACAAAAGCAGCTTTGATAGCAGCCATCTTCTGCCAGACTCTGTTCTCTTTTTAACAGGTTTTTGACTAACCTTAGTGCCTCTGTTGCCAGTGCCCAGACTTCCAAACAATCTACAATCAGCCCTCTTTGTTTTGCCAAGTTGTGCCCTTTTAGAGGAAGTTTCAAGTATCTGTTGACCAGTGTCACTGTTCAATTTAACAGCCTATAATACACAGTGGGTCCAGATGAGCTCATTGTTTGGTTTGGGATTAGCCTACTCACATCTTTTTCCAAATGGATGATTTTGACCAAACAGGAGCTTGTCACATTGGATCACCGCCCAAGATCACAGAAGGCTGTATTAAAACATTGAACAGAGTTATTTTCAGCACAATCCATGAATTATTTCTGCAGCTGTCCGACTTCTTCCTTTTTTTCATCTCAGACAAAACATTTGCTGTTGTCTGCTTGTAGCTGAACACAATCTTTTCCTACCAGGCAGACGTGTCAGACTGATTCTCGGCTTCTGTTGAGAGATATGTGTGAAAAAGTGAGAGGGGGAAATAAATCAATGGGAGAGCTTGATCTGTCAGTCGTAATGGCTCCAGCATTGTTTAGTTTTGTCCTGCACCATCACTGCCTTCAGTGGTGCAAAGTTAATTTGAAGAGGCATTTGGCAGATGGCTGCCTTCTCTTCATGAAAGGATGTGAATAGGGATATTTTTCCCCTTTCCTTTCTCTTCTTGTGATCTCTCCACAAGGCACCAGAGACCAAGGAGGAAGCAAGTGACACAGAAGAGACAGAAACACAAGGTATTAGGAAGTCCTATAAACTTTGATGGTGGGTGAACTTGTATATGTCCCTCTACCCGTGCTGTGGCTTGTGAACAGGACTATTTATCTTTGGTCTACCCTGTTTGGGAGTAGTTACTGAAAGTGTCTGCTATAAACGGTACTTCAGCTCAATCATTTCTGACTATCATATGTGCATCTTTTTCATCTTTTAGAACCAGTAGACATGGGATCGAAGGGCCCTGACGCAGCCCAGTCCAGCTTCAATGAACTACAGCTAAAAGACTGATGCACTGCCACATTCTTTGTCTTTATTACTGTTAAAAGTTTTAAAAGTTATGTTTGCACACACCACAAAGACCAGAGCCATCTGGATGCCAACATAAATGTACATTCTGTCCGTTCATGAGAGGAAATAGAGTCAGTCTGTATTGCTAATCATAAAAATAGGCAAACTAGGATTTAGTGGCGTCTATCGGTGTAGTTAGAGGTCCCTCCCTTCCCCCGCTTCTGTAAGTCCAATATTCACTCTCCCTTTAGCTCTCTTACTGTTCACAAAGTCCTGAGAAAAATATCTGTCTTTTTAGCTGCTAAATGCTCCACTATGTCCACCAGCTAGTTGCTAACTGTGTCTGGACAGGTGTACAGTGGGTTTATCAGAGGTTTATGCTGAAAACAGCTACCTGTTCTAGCTGGAAATATGGTTTGAGCTCTGAGAGTGAACCAAACTCTCAGTTGACTGGCTGGAAAACAAAACAAAACAAAACAATGAGCTAAAAGAAGCCAAAAAGCTCTGCAGGGTCAAAATATTGACTCAGCAACTGATAAAGGCTGACTAGAACAGTGTCAAAATGCAAAAACTACATGACCAAAGGACACACATGGCCAAACAGTGCCCAGTGTCCAACTGACTGTCTGGCTCTGTGAATCAAGTCAAAAAGGATGATGATGGCAGATGCCTCTTAATTCTATTGGTTCTCCCAAGGCTTGGTATTTTGCACCTTTTTTATCATCAACCACCACTGCTAATGGATGTTTTGTTTTACAACTTTAAGGTCTTAAGCTTTTTGTGAATAGCATCCTACCATGCAGTCAGTTGGTTAATGGAACATGGACATGGGCTATTAGACTTAAAACCTCTTGGTGATAGCTATTGATATGTAGGTTAGCATTATAGTGCTGCTATGAGGTAGTGGGCAGTACCCCAGAGGAACCACTGCCTTTATTGTATCTCAGCTCCTAACCTGTATGAGGCTGTATGACTAATGCCTATTATTTGTTCAGATCTAATTAGTCCTGACAGGGAGGGATGTGAGCTGTTACAAGGTCAGAAAAAGCAGACACACCTTGACCTGCAACATAGGAGCCTGATTTTCCTACATGCACAGGGACTTTATAAGGATTTATTCAGAGAGCTTCATTGTCTGTAAACTTTCCAGTGTGATCTGTTGAATTGAATATAATTGGGGAATCTCCTTCCCAGTGGTGTGAGGAATTAATCATTTTAAAAAGTGTTTGTGGTTCATGTGAGTTATTTTAAACAGTCAGTCTGATATATCTAGCCTTTTATGCTGGCACTTGGCACTATGAGACAGTTGAAGAGCTCTTCACTTCTCAAAGTCAAACAGACTGGACTAGACCGCGTGGCTGATTGATTAATTGATAGTTTTGTTAAGGGAGAGTGGCAGGCATTAAGTTCGGATCAAAACCGCTACTCAGATCCATTAGGACCTCTTGTGTCAGCTTGTATGTAAAGAACCTATCTGTTTGGGTTAGTGTTACGATTTGTATGAACTGAGGGTTGGGAATGGTCCCACACTACCTGTTCCTAACAATACAGTACCTCTTTTCAATATTTTTTAAAAACAACTTTTTAAATCTATTATCCATATAGCTACTCTAATCAATGCTTCTTATTGGTCCGGCGTAAAAACAAAAGCTAACAAGCCCTGTATCGCTGTTTAAAACCTACCGGCTCTGGATTAAGATGGGGCTGGTAGTTGACTGCGAGGAGAACATTTAAAGACTTCACATTCCTGCAGATGTTTGATCACTTGCTTGTGATGTTTGAATGAGCATTGTCTTTGACTTAGGTAAAACCTAACCACACTTTAGACCCTTCTGTTCTGTCCACTGTGGTCTCTCTGCTACCCGCTAGGGGGGGACTGGGGATGTGCCCTGCTCTAATGTACAGGCAGAGAGCAGAGTACAGGGATAGAAAAGAAAGAGGCAACACTGCATTTATCAGAAACAATTACACAAAAACCAAAGTCTTTCTAGCTTGATATCAGACAGAATTATCCACTTGCTATAGAGAATCAGTCAACTCGATGGAATGGGCAAATTCTAAGGTCTGACTCTGGACCCAGGCAAACGTCTTTCTGTTAAGATAATCTCAGCCCCAGGTATCATCAGAACTAACCTTAAAATATAGGTAAACAGGTAAAATCAATCCACATTCAGAAGCTGTTTTGAGGGGGTCTCCCTACGCTAACAAGATTACCTACATATATAGAAGAATATTGGTTGGTACCATTAAGGTGTCAGATTTCGTTACCCAGCCCTAGATAAATAATCTATATGAGTAATTTATTTTAATTTGCCTACACAGGATATTGGAAAGTAAGTCGAAGAAAAAGTACCTTTTTAGAAATTGTAGGAAGGGGAAAGAAAATACAAAGAAAGGAATCAACTCCAACATCATTTTTTATAAAGCAGACTTTATTAGTTTCTCTTGGTTTTTTTTTTTTCAATCTTTCATCCATCTACTGCAGTCAACACTCAGTGTATATTGCTGCAGATAAGTAGCTTAGTCACTAATTGTCTCAAATATGTGTAGAAACTAATTGCTGCACCATCAGGAGTCATCTTCTAGTAGCAGGAATCCATGATGCGCCTCATGCTCATGAACCTCATGTTGCTCCCGCCCATGTTCATGAAGCTCCTGTACTCGCCAGGCCTCATGTACCACATCCTTCCCCTGTAGTTGGGCTGCTCATACATCAGCCAGTGGCCGTCCATCACGTTGCAGGACATGAAGTTGGACATGCTGTAGCGGCTCATGATGTTGTCACAGTCCTCCATCATCTCGTGCATCTGGCCCTGGAAGCTCTCTCTCTCGTAGATCCTCATCCTGTAGGAGCCTCTGTACATGGGGATCATGCGGCAGGACCTGATGCAGTCGCTCATGCCCATCATGCTCATGTAGTCGGCGTACTCGCCCCTCCTCATGAAGTACTGGTTTCCCATGTAGTTGGTGCGGTCGTAGACCATGAAGCAGCCCCTCTCCACCCTGCAGGAGTGGCAACGGTTCATGTAGGAGGACATGTCGGCGCAGTCGCTCATACACTCGTAAGAGCGGCCCTGGAAGTTCCTGTCCTCGTAGAAGATGATCTTGCTCATCATGTTCATGCCGCTGGAAGTCATGTTTGCTAGGTGTTGTCGCTGGAGGCGGCGCTGTTGCTGCTGCTGGTGCTGTTGGTACTGCTCTTGGAGCTGAACTGCTTGTCTACCTGTTGGAAACCTTCCTTTTTATACCTGACAAGCAGAGGGCCCCTTTGTGAAAACAGCCTGACCCAGCAACATAGCATAGAAGCCCATAGAGCACTGAGGGTTGTCCACATTTATGGCTGTTCTCCCAAAAGACCTTAGAGAGGCGGTTTTACTTCAAATACTCACAGACAAAACCTTTTTCAAAGGGTTAACAAAGAACAACAGCACCTTTGTTACATCACTGTAGTTCACAGATCATCCTTAGCTTTGGAATTTTGTTTTGTTTAGTTGTCTCATTCTTAGCATTGTGCTAGATCATCCATTAATATGGTCAGTGAAGGTCTGTTATAGATTAGATACAGATAGATGATTCATGTTTTTGTGCTCTTTTGATTGATGTTCCATAAGATTTCTATAACAGAGGGCAATACATTTTCTATATATGTATTGATCAATCTATTGATCTATGTATCTATGGATATCTATCTATCATTTTAGTGTAGTCACTAAAATAATATTCAGCCTGTAGCCTACTCAGCTATGTCCCTGAAGTTAAAAAAATAACATTCATTTGTTGGAGCTTTCTATTAATCAGTTTCCACATGTAATTTAATTACGTAGTGACAGCACTATATATAATTTCATTACATTAGAATAATTTTAATTACTTTGAATTGTCACAGTGTTTAGTAAAGGAATTATTTTTAAGTGCTAGGGCAAATTTGGTTTAGTGTCAAGAACCCCACAAATGTATACACAGTATTGTAGTCTCAGGGATCCCTTTTTGATAATATTTAGTTATTCCATAGCTATCTATACTGCAGATAAACAGTGAACAGTGTGAAACCTATGAACAGAAGTCATTTTTTTATATCCTCTCCTTGGGCTTACTTCTAGTCATTGAAAAAATAATGATTTTAAATATCATATTGTATTCTTCTGGGGACCCAATGGAACCCTGATGTAACAACACATTATGTAATAATACCCCATTATGTAATAACTTGACAAAATGTAACAAATGTTTACTTTATTGTGTAATAACAACCGCATTTTGTGGCAATCTGCGGCGTTTTGTGATAATCAGGATAAACCCAATATGTAATACATTTCCTCGCATTTTGTAAGAAATGAATCCATATTGTGGTGGTTATTACAAAATGCAAGAGTAGCACTTTTTTATGATGGAAATGTAATAATATGGTGCATTATGTAATAACTAACCAAAATGGATGTCTTTATATGTACATGTTTTTTTTTTAACCTATAATAAACTGTAATAAACAAATATTCAGTTAGACTCTTATAAGCTGTGGTGGCCCTCTTGGGGTTATAGTTGACACTGATCTTAGTCTAAATAGCCACATAAAAGCAGTAACAAGATCAGCTTGTTATCTTCTCCTACGAACACAACCAAACTCAGGGAACTCAGTCGACTACTGCAGTGGTCTTTTGACAGGGCTCCCCAAAAAGACCACCAAAAAGCTTCAGTTCAGTCAAAATGCAGTTCATTAAAAAAAAGTTTTGAAATAGCCACCAGAATATGTAGTAATTTATTAGATTGTTACAAAATGCGATGTTATTACATAGTGAAATGAAAATGAATTACATTTTGTAGAATTACTACATAATGTGTTGTTACACCTGAGAACCCCTTTCACTGTTAGTTAATAGTGTTTGAATGTGGCAAGAAACGTGTCTTGGTCACTAGTCTGCTACTTGTTGGTCAGATCACTCGTTCAGCAGGGGGGTGAGGATGAGGGGGAGAAAGCATAAATCTCCTAATGCATTAACATCTTGTCTACACAGCCTGTGTAGCAGATGCAGCAGGTCAGCAGTAGGGCTGATGGAGTTCGCGAAATCTTCGAAGGATATTCTAGGTATATGTCAGACTTTTCCTGTGATTTTTCACCATAAATGATGTTTGATTTTCAAAACAGACATTGGAATACTGTTCAGTGGTGGTTATTGTTTGAAATGTTTGAAGCTGGGGAACCCTGCTGGCTTGCCTGGTGGAGGGTGTGCCCCATGTACTAAGACTGGGTTCTTGTTATGTTGGCACAGGTTTGGTTCAAACCTGCTATCCTTGTTGCTTGTCATCCCTTCCTTCCCGTCCATTCCTTAGTGAAGGCAGAAATAACTGCTGGAGGATCCACCATGAGCATTTTAGCATTTAGCATGTTAGCCAGATGCTGCATGCACCTGTTGGTCACACATCGTGGGTGTGTTTTATTTGGGTGACTAAGCGTGCTCGCTGGTGGTGCATTAAATCAGTGATTTACAATATAGAGGTATTGTTGCATTGTTGTGCATTGTTTGTACTGATCTATAACTGCTTGCTGTTTGAGACGCCTCTCACACCACTGAGTGTACACATTGAGCGTACCTTTTCCAGAGTGTTACCTGAATGTAGAGTGTCTCCTCTCTGGAGTTCTGCTCTCCTGCCTCCGCAGACACACCAGCAGGTGCTAATTTAACACCTTTCTCTTGTTTCATTCTCACACAGTTTATCAGGACTTTATTCGTGTTTGGTTTTGCTATAAAATGGATGCGACTTGAAGATAGTACAACATTTGTTAAAACAGTTGTGAAAAAAAAGTACTTAAAGCAAGGAACTTTCATTTTGTGTTGATTCTGACAGCTCCTGTGTACAACAGCAGTAGTGTTTTCACCATTTCGTTTAATTAATTTCAAGGAGAATCAGGCCAAATTTGACCCAGTGGCAGGCATTCAAGAACCAGTGTGAAGGATTTAGTGGCATGTGATGGTAAAAAAAAAAAAAAACGGACTGCAACCACCTTAATACCACTCGCCTTCCAAGCGTGTAGGAGAACCTATGGTGGCCACAAAAAATGTGAAAGGCCCTGTCTAGAGCAAGAAACAATTGCGGTTAAACATGGTGGACTCTGTAGAAGAGGACCAGCTCCCTCTGTAGATAAAAACGGCTCATTCTAAGGTAACAAAACTATAACAATTCAATAACAATACAAAAACAATATTTTCAGGTAGTTATACACTAATGAAAACATACCTATGAATATTATATTCCATTTCTGACATGTCCATATTTGGTCCATGCTGAACTGTTTCACATAATTAGTTTTTGTTTTTAGCCCATTCAAAGCAATTTAGGCTACTTTTAGCCTAAAAAGCTCCATATGGTTGTGTAAATAATTTCCTGCCCTTGATTAATTAGGGATGTTCTTGTAGATAAACGTGTTGGGATACTACTGAAATGGGCAATATACGAAAAATATCTTTGTGCTAGACAGTGCTGTTAATGATAAGAAGAAAATAAGGGGACTGTTTATGTTATTAGACGAAGAGAGAGATCACTCTCATGGCTGATTCGTTGTTGTGGGATAACCTGATACATGGTGCCTTTCCAGTTTTAATTTTAAATTTTTTGTGCTGATTGCTGGAATTAAATTTGTGATGTGAACAACAAAACGTAGATGACGGCAATGATGTGAAGTTACAGAGGATGATGTTACAGCTTTCAGGGAGCAGGTAAGCTCACGATACGTCATCCTAACTTACCACACTGGGGATTTTATTTACCAGTTTATCCTACCACCATTCTCTTTCCCCTATGAACAGATTTGTTGTGTGAGGTTAGAACAGCTATCCCAAAGCGGACTGCAGAAACCAAATGTTATGACTATAACTTCTAAAGTGGGACAAAGATGATTTATAACAAGCGGTGGCATCAGGGGAGGGACAGGGGGGCTGCCACCTGCTGGGGCTGTATCCCCGGCTAGTGGTGGGTGGCAGCATGACGCAATTAACCAGTGTTGTGCATCAATAAAACATAATTGTTAGTTTAACTGACGTCTACTTATTGGCAGATTCTGTTGCATTATGATTCGAGTAAAACCTAACCACACTAAAGACCCTCCTGTTCTATCCACCGTGGCCCCTCCTCTGCTGCCCACATGGAAGAGCCCAGCCCTGCCGTAATGTAGAAAATGAAGTACAGGAGAGAAAAAAGAAACAGCCTACCTATTTCTCCAATACCATCTCTTTCTGTTAAGCTATTCCCACTCTGTGTTGTGTTGCGAACTGACACGTTTTTTTTATAACAGTAGAATTCACATTCAAAGCTGTTATTTGGGGGGTATCCCTATGCTCACTAAAGTACCTACGTAAATTTTGAGGCATATTTGTTGTTACCATTAAGGTGTCTGTTTTTGATACCCAGCCCTAGACAAATAATCTATATGAGAAAATTCCTTTAATTTGCCTACATCAGTGGGTCACAGGCTATTGGAAAGTAAGGAGGAAGGATGACAAGGTACCTTTTTAAAAGTCGTCAAAGGAAGAAGAACAAATTAGAGTCAACTCCAACATTATTTTATACCTGTAAACGGGTAAAATCAATCCACTTTTAGAAGCTGTTTTGGGGGGGTCTCCCTACGCTAACAAGATTACCTACATATATAGAAGAATATTGGTTGGTACCATTAAGGTGTCAGATTTCGTTACCCAGCCCTAGATAAATAATCTATATGAGTAACTTATTTTAATTTGCCTACATCAGTGGGTCACAGGCTATTGGAAAGTAAGTAGAAGAAAAAAGTACCTTTTTAGAAATTGTAGGAAGGGGAAAGAAAATACAAAGAAAGGAATCAACTCCAACATTATTTTTTATAAAGCAGACTTTATTAGTTTCTTTTTTTTTTTTTTTCTTCAATCTTTCATCCATCTACTGCAGTCAACACTCAGTGTATATTGCTGCAGATAAGTAGCTTAGTCACTAATTGTCTCAAATATGTGTAGAAACTAATTGCTGCACCATCAGGAGTCATCTTCTAGTAGCAGGAATCCATGATGCGCCTCATGCTCATGAACCTCATGTTGCTCCCGCCCATGTTCATGAAGCTCCTGTACTCGCCAGGCCTCATGTACCACATCCTTCCCCTGTAGTTGGGCTGCTCATACATCAGCCAGTGGCCGTCCATCACGTTGCAGGACATGAAGTTGGACATGCTGTAGCGGCTCATGATGTTGTCACAGTCCT